GAAAAAATTACATAGCACAAAAGTAAGCTAATTTGATCGTCTTCAAAGATGCTATGGCTATTTCACTGTTCGAATCGAGCCGAACTACGCGGTTTCTGTGTCATGCAAGGAGGACATATTTGCAGCTTGTTGAAGGTGTGTATTGCTCCTGTGCTGTACATACTTAACTGTCACTTTGTGGAAGAAACAGGCTCATGGTAGTCATTAAAAAAAGCCACATAGCATCATGAGTAGAAAACGGATAAAGCCAGAAGAGAATAACTCGGTCGTCGTTGGATATTGTACTCAACCTGAAAATTTCATGACAGAAGGTGCTGTCAAAGAAGTGACTGCTCAGAAAGGTCCACAGTCCAATAATAAGTATAAAGAAGCTAACCACAAAGGACATTTTGGAGATGAGTTCCTTAGCCTTATAACGGCAATACATTTTGGCGCGCACAGGATTTGAGACAGGTATGAATTTGAAAGCTATGAGAAATATTATGGTTGAAGCTGTCACACTATTGCGAATGAAACGCACGAGGAAATGTTCCAGCAATGTTACAGACTTGAAGACCATTATCTATAACTTGTTTGTCGTTGGTCACATTGACTGCTCTGAATCTAGGAAAGGGACGAGCTGTTCTCACGGACAGAAGACCAATACATATTATATTACTTGACTGTCGATGGAATTCCGCCATCTGTAAGACAATATCAGCTGAAACTATTGAAGTAGAATAAAGAGGATGATGATACCGAGCAACTGTCAAAGAAAGAGATGAAAAACTTCCCACTAATGTTCATATTGCGAGGTTCCCCGCTTTTGACTCACATCACTACTGTAGGTCAGTTTCGTGTTAAAAGAGGACTAGCTCTCAACCTGAACTGAAGAGGAGACAAAACAAAGGCTGAACAATCGCATCCACGGAAAAGCCAAAGTCAGAAAACTTAAAGAAAATGCTTTCAGCCGCAATATAATCATAAACTGAAGTGATATTATGGAACAGACTCAACAGAGACTATTCAATAACCATTTATTCCCTACAAACCAACAGTACCAAACAGTGATCTTTAAGCCCCAGAAAAATCAAGTCAAAGACGTTCCATTGAACAGCCTAAAAAACTCCTTATAGCCAAGTACACCTTTTCATCAGACTGGAGGAACACACAATGTTCTTCTAAATCTGCCACATTTATCTTTCTTAACAAACACTTGCACAATATTTCATTGATAAATAAAGTATTATTTTATGGGCTAAAACATTTATAAGGTATTACACAAATTCATTACACATGCTC